CCCAAAGAATTGGATGCCAGATCGGCTGATCTGGATAACGGCGACCGCTTGAAGCTGTCGGATGATTTGGGGGCGGAGAAATCGCCGGAGGATGTGGCGGTGGAAGGTGAGGTTTGGTTTGATTTTCCCGACGAGTTCCGTGCTGATCTTATGCTCTGCATGTGCTCTAGGTTTTTAGAATTTTGGTTCTTCTTTTCTATTGGATTTTTGTTGTGATGAGTGTTGGAAATTTTAGTCTGTGAATCTTTGGGCAGTGGATGCAGGGGATTCATTGATGGATGTGGAGAAGGAGAAGCCGAGTAGACCTCCACTGAATCGAGGGAAGAAGTGGCAACTGAAGTCCAACGCTGGTGTTGCATGGGGAAAACTTCTTTCCCAGTGTTCACAGGTGGATTCTTCGATTTTGGTTATTTACAAGAAACTTAAAGAACAAGAACAAAATTTTGAACCCTTGATTAATCCTAGTTGTGATGAAGATTCCTGTAAAATCGTGAACTATTCCCCTTCTTCTTTGTCATTTTCGTTTTATGGGTTCTTGGTTTTTTGTGTTGAATCTCTAAAGCTTAGCCTTTCATTAAAAGGCATAAAAGGCTATGCGGTAAAGTCACTTCCTTTGATATGTGAAATCTTTTTTGTTTAACTTGGTATGAATGTCCTTCCCCCAAAAGATTCTGGTAAGTCTGATGCCAAGCTTTCTCTAGAACCAGGATAGTTTAACAAGGTAGCCTCTGATGGTGTAAGGAGTATCTACTAAACTATCATTCTTTTGAGTGGTAAATTTGCTCACATATATGCATTAACCAGTGTTGTGTGTGTGTTCTTGACTGCAAGTAACAATTGTTGTCGTGGTAATGCATGGGGAGTCTTATTACTGATACACATGTTCATGTATTTGTTTGTGGAGCTACAATGATTTTACACATTTTCTCAATTCCGGGTTCTTTTGCATGGTTCTCTCTTAGAATCCGCATGTTGTCATGAATCGTCCTACTTTCACTGTTGGTCAAGGCCGCCAATGTGACTTGTCGGTGAGAGATCCGAGAGTTGGCAAATCATTGTGTAATCTGAAGCACATGGCGTCAGAGGTGCATTTTGATTCCTGTGTACATTTTATACTGTTACTCTGGTTGGATATTTATATGGTTTTGAAGCAAGTATAATTCTTATTTTGATGTTGACTTATTATCTTTCTGTCTATATAATAATTTATTTGTTTGCCAAATACAGAGAGGGGAATCAGTTACTTTGCTTGAGATCACAGGGAAAAAGGGTGTTGTACAAATCAACGGCAAAAGTTACTCCAAAGATTCAATTGTTTCTATAAATGGAGGTGATGAGTTGATCTTCAGCTCGTCTGGAAATAATTCTTATGTATCCTCTTACCAAAATAAATTGACCTTTCTCTGTGTGAGGTCACTGTTATTCACCATGGTTT